AGTCGTTTTGACTAGGTGAACCAGAAGTGACAAGAATACTTATTGTAAACCTAAAGAAGTAAAACTCGTGTAATCTTGGAAAAGATTAGTGAAACCCTTTAAGAATTCTTAAGGGGGAATTGGGTGTAGCTTAGGTTTAAGTGAATCAGTATAAAAGTTATGCTTGTTACTTTCCCTTTTTAAACGTTTTCACAAAATCCTTTTTGAAATATCTTCGTCTAAACTCATAATTTATTTGTTAATCTTTTGAAAACACATTACATCAAAACGCCACCAATTATAAGCTAAAAAGTGACACAAAGGATAACAAATTATGACAACCCTTCAAGCTCCACTAAGGATAAGCTAAATGAATGAATAAAAAAACAACTTATGATATGCCCACCTTAGGAAATAATTCTATAAATTAATTTATGTTATGAACCATATTTTCTAAAAAAGTATATAAGTTCTCCTTATATGAAGAATGTGGTTGATGAATCAATATTTAACCTATTCACTTAACTTCTTGTACTAGATTTAATTAGGGAATTGCACTTAAATGTCCAATATTTCCTCAGTTTTGATTTGGGCTTAATTTGGCCAATAATTTTTATTTTAATTAATTTGAATTATCTGAGATTAATTATTTCCATTATTAATTGTAGGGAAATTTTTGGAATCATATTTTGGGACAGCAAGAGTGCTACCACATCATTTGCTTTTGGCCACATTAGCATTTAGATTTATTTTGGTTGTAATTTTGTTTTTCCTTTATTGTTTGGACTAGATTTGTATTTTTGGACAGACTTAGTACTATTGGGCCCATTTTTGGTCATTTTTTTGTAGAAGCCCATTTGAAGGGGCTGACTTATTACCTAGGGTTTAGTGCCTAAAGGGGGTAGACTCTCTCATTCCATAACATTCTTCACATTTAACGTTTTAGGTGGCTGGAACAAGAGAGGTGCTCTCCCATGAGGTTTTGTTTTTGGTTTTGTTAGTATGTATTGAACTAGTTTCCCATTTCCATTGCAATTCCATTTATGTTTTGCTTCCATTATGGTAGGGCAAACTGATTAAATGTGTGCATTATGAAAACTGTATTTATTCTTCGCTTAGTAGGCTAATCACTGTTCGATTAGGGTGAAAGGAGCATATAATTATTGGCAATCAGGGATTGGAATCATTGCAGGGGAGCCAATAACCAACCTGTCCTTAATTAGTGTTTTAATTCGTGTCTTTATTCGTAATTCTGCTCACACAACCCCCCACTACGTGTTCAATCTAATGACTGAACCAATAATTGGTCCTTGAGAGACGACCTAGGAGTCACTTCCTAGTATATATTGTACTTTAATTGCATATTAATTTGATTCGGGTATGACCTCGATCAGTGGTGTAAAGGGATTAACCAAATACTTCACTTTCTTAATTGTATATCTAAACAAAACATAAAACTAAGATCAAGACTAAAACTAGAGATAACTTAGCAAATTCCTATTAAGCTCAAAATACAAATTAAATTAGTATATTTTTATCCGTTTGTAGTATTACATCATCCTCATCTCCTCTTCTTCTTTTTTAATTTTTTAAATTTTTTTTTAAAATTTAACTAAAGTTCTTGTATGAAAACATCAAGAAAATATTTCCATAATTCAATAGTCTTAAATTCTTCAATTTAAGATGACCTAATGTTTTTAAAATGCCTATTACTCACTAATTCTTGTTAATTCTCATCAACATGCTAATAAATTGTTTTATTATGTATCATTATTGCACCATTTATCATTTGTCAGGTTAATCACTTATTTATTGAACCTTAATGAATAAGGTCGTCTTGTGATCCTTTCTTTCATATTCTTTTTTATGTGATTCATCTCATTTTTTTTCTTATTATTATTGTTTGTTGTTTAATATTTTTTCTTAACCTACTATTTGTTATATAATAATTGATCTAAGTTTTCCTTTCCCATCTTTGTTATTTTTCGAGCACTACTTCATTCTTGTAAGTTTCACAATAGTTTTGGACTAATTTAAAAATATGCTACCTTGTGTATGCTAGCATAGGCCCATGTTTTAGGCCCACTTACTTATGGCTTCTAAAGTTAGCTTTCATTGCCACTAGAATACGTCCTATTGATCTCGTTGAGTATTCAAAATCAAGACTAAATCATATGGCTAAGTTGAAAGGTATAAAGCTAGACTTGTTGTTAAAGGATATACCCAAGAGTATGACATGGATTCTAAGGAAAAATTTTCTCTTATGGCAAAGATGACTACTGTTCATACCTTGATCATTGTTGCTTATATTTTTCAATAGAAGATTTTTCAAATGGATGTGAAGAATTCCTTTTTGAATAGGAATCTACATGAAGAAGTTTGCATGACTCCAACAACAGGTGTCTCTCACAAATTTAGTGAAGTTTGTACACTTCGTAAGGCCCTTTATGGTCTTAAACAAACATCTCGTGCTTGGTTTGAGAATTTTTCTATAGTTATTGTTTCTCTTAGTTTTGTTTCTAGTCATCAGGATTCTTCTTTATTTGTCACAAAAACCAATGTACAATGTATTTTGCGGTCCTTATATGTTGATGATATATGATTATTACTGGTCATGATTTTTGATCGAATTAGATCTTTAAAAACTACATTATCCTATCGTTTTGCTATGAAAGATTTGGGTGTATTATGTTACTCCCTAGGCATTAAGGTTGCTTCTTCTTCCAAAGGTTATCTTATGTCTCAGTCCAAGTATATTGCTTACCTATTTGAATGTGCTCAGCTTATTGAGAACAAGGTTGTTGATTCTCCTCTTGAGACAAGTGCATGATATTCCCCCATCAAATGATATTTCTTTGATTGATTCTATTTTATATCGAGCTATTGTTGGGACTCTAGTTTATCGTACTGTGACTCGTCTAGACATTGCACATGTTGCTCATGTTGTTAGTCAATTTGTTTAATCTCTAAGAATGGTTCATTGAGTTGTTCTTTGTATTCTCAAGTATCTACAAGACAATAAGTTTTAGTGTCTTTTGCGTCCTTTTATGTCGTCTTTATACTGTGCCTATTGTGATGCATATTGGAATGGTGATTCTAATGATCGAAAATCCACTATCAAATGATGTATTTTTCTTGGTGATTCACTTATATCATGGAAGAGTAAGAAACTAGATGTTACATCCCTATCATCCATAGAAATTGAGTATCGCACCATAGCTTCAACTACTTGTGAGATTATTTGCCACGTTGATTACTTGTAAATATAAGTGTTTATTTGAAAGATCCTACACCTCTGTATGGTAACAATAAAAGTACTATTCATATTATTCACAACTCTAATTTTCATAAGCAAACCAAACATATTGAAACATGTTATTTTACTCGTCATCATCTTCAACTTGACACTATATCTTTACTGTTTTTTCCTTTGTCTCTACATATTGCAGATATATGTTTACCAAAGCACACTTTGTTTTACGTTTTCATTTTTTATTTGACAAACTCTCGATATATTTAGTCGTAACCATGTAAGTTTTTAGACCTATTTACTTGTGACTTCTAGGATTAACGTATTATATAACGAATCTTTTACAACTCCTTTTAGACAATTAATAATACACAATCTCCTTCTTCATATATTTCTTTGTTTTCTACTTTGTAAAGTCCCGTTTTTATATTTCATAGGTTGAAAGTGTTCTTCACATCAAACTTCTCGGTCTTGAAAGTAAAACCCATCATCCTGTATCACTTGACATTTTGTGAAAAAAAGAGTTGAAGTGGCTATTGCCATTTTGTTATGCATAGAATACCAAATTAAGCTCAAGAACAAAAAAGGACGGTCTAATGTAATTATGAATTACCATTAAATAAAGACAATATGACAACGAATGAATTACTAATCTAAATGTGATCAAGATCCTCGTTGTATTATATTGTATTATGCAAGATAATGCATTAAATTGCATCGCTTCAAGATACATATAAATCATCGTTACATGGGTTATAAGTTGTTTAAAAGTTACTTAGAACCAAAACATAAATCTAACTAACTTATACATAATCAATGGACACGAAATAATGTACTCGTAGAGTCATAGACAGAGACGTCCCTACCTTCATAAAGAATTTGGCACACTAGGATCTATAATTCAAGTAATAAAAAGTACATTCGAAAATATAATGTTATGAAGGAATTAGTGAGAATGTGGTCCAGTCCATTGCGATCACGTTCGCCACCCCGTATACCATTTATGCATGTACGTGCACACAAACAGAATGTGTCCGCTTGCGTACGTAAAAAATCAAGACTCTTGGATTGACCAGAACTCGGATAATCAACCTCATTTCTGGTTGGACCACTCTCCTCTCAAATTTCCAGCAATATTCTACTTCTTTCTTCTCTCACCATAAAATAATTATAATATAACCTAAAATAACACTTCACAATATTTATTTTTCACCTTCAATTCTACATTTTCCAAAAGAGAACCATATAGTAAATGTATTAGAAATAGCATAGGAACACACATACATGATTTTTTCCTCAAGAAGGAATATAACTTAGCAAGGCGACGTGATTCCCAAAACAGAATGAATGGACGTTCCACGGCAGCGAAATTTGTCTCGCTGTACCATAAAATGTATGTGGCCCTTCATACACACCCATCATTACTACATCGATCCAAATATGTAAATTATTATTTTGAATGAAGCTTAATATTTTAATTAAGGTGAAAGGGTGAAAACTGTAGGATTTGCCACATGGTATGATTGGTGCATGAGATGGAAGAAACACCTGAGATGGAAGAAATGCGGTGAAGGAATGATTAAGGAGGAGAATAAGAAGCGTGTTAATCATATCCCATGGGCAGGGTTAATTAACAGCCCCACGTGCGATGACTCTAACCCCTAACCATGGTTGATTAAATTCAAACCAAATGCAAACAAATCATTGTAAAAAGACCTTATTGTTTATTTTAATATAAAAAAAAAAAAAAGGCACAGTGAGATGTAGAACGTATACATAACCACGCCTTGGTGCGGGTGTGAAGAAGAATAAGCAAAACCCCCGACAGAGAAAAAGGAAATCCCCACCGTCCCAGCATCGACGCTTCCATTTGCAACACCAACAAAAAAGAAAAGCGACCAAAACCTACCGAGTAGCAGCACTGTAACAGTATGTGTGGTAAGTACTCTCCCTCTCTCTTGTTTGTGTGGTGTGTAAGGCGTGAGGTATGAGTCTGGCATATATAGGGAAAGACCTAATGGGATGACAGTGTTATCTCATTAATGCGCTTCACCTTTTTTTGACGATTCTCCTTTACGCGTCGCAGTTTGTCACTTCTGATCCTCTCTGCCACCTTGGTCGCTTCAAAACCCTACCCCCACCCCCACCTCTTTCCCTTTTTCCACCTCTCCGCCTTCTCCTCTCCACCACGCACCACGGTTCCTCTCTCTCTCTCTCTCTCTCTTTCTCTCTCTCTTTATCACTGTTCTTTTCCTTAAAACGTAACCGACACATATACCAGAGAAGAACAGAATTGCATGGAGCAATCAATGTCCTTTTGCCCCAATCTCATCGCCATTTCTAAACCAACTAACCGTGTGCGTGTGTTGCTGCTAGCTACTTTACCCTTCTCATACTAGCTAGCTGGATTATTTCATCCAATTGAAGATAATAAGAAAAGGAAACACCCGATGCTTGTTTTTCTCTTTTTAGGTTTCACACTCTCTTCGTAGTTCTAGTAGTAGTCCCGTGACACTGACTTTCTTTCTCTTTCTCTCTCGTCTTTTCCAGAATCGACGGCTATTCCTGCTTCGTTGACTCCTTTCTTCACATGATGTGATGTGTATATATGACCCTTCCCTTTCTGCTCTTCTCTTCTGCAGATCTGTGATTTCTCTGTAAAAAAGAAGCTTATTCTCTTTTCCTCTCCCTCTTCTCTTCCATGCCGTGACTACTCAGTACTCACTTCCAACCACCGAACGCCTCGCCGTGCTCGTTCTTTCATGGAACAGCATTCGGTTCAACGAATCGTCGTCGTTTGTGTAACCGTCTCCTTGTTCTCCCTCTCACTCCTTGCCGTTTCAACAGGTGCGTGTTGTTCACTCTCAATCTCAATATTCTTATGTGAATTATTATTGTTCGTAGTTTCTTAAATTACCGTTTTTAATCGCGTTTGTAGGTTTTGCTGGTGGGAGGACACTTTCGGGAACCATGGTCTCCCTGTCATCGCGTCGTGTAGAGGAAGGGAACAGGAAGCTCCATAGCTCGCATCGCAAACTTCTTACTAGCGGTAAGTGCTTTTTTTTTCTTTTTAAATCGTGTTTTGACTAGTTTAGATGTTTCTTTTCATGGGAGAAGAACGAGCTTGTCTTCTTCTTTTGAGGTTGCCCTTTTTGTCTTGTTTTCTTTAGATACATGCCTAGGCGTTGTTTCTTTGTATGTTTTCGCTGAAAACGAAATGGCTGCTAAAAGATTGTGTGATCTAATAATCTAAAGCCCATATAACTACAGAATTCACCCATTTAATTACAGCGGCACTTCTATTTTGAGCACCAAAGGATTTTTCTTTTATCAATATATGCCTGTGTTTTTTTATTTGGTTGAAGAGGAAGTGAAGTGTAGAAAAGACAAGGGCGTATGGTTCTTTACATATTTTTTTTTATCATTGTATTTTCCCTTTAATTTAATAAGGACGAAAGTTTGGAATTTTTCTTTGACCTTTTTATTTTTTAAACTCCACTAGGGTTGAAATAATTCCGGGCTAGCTAGCTCTAGCCTTTCGAATAATTGGCTTTTCGCCCCGGTTGAACTTGAAAGTTGCTTTTTAGCTTTTGGGTATTGGTTTGGAATGATTCAAATTTTTTATAAACCAGAATAATAACAGTATTTTGTCGCGGAGTGGCTTCCTGCGCACATGTCTTTTTGCTGGTCTTGATGTTAGTCTTTGGTGTACCATGTAACACAGAAGACTGTCATTTTGTTTGCCAAATAATAAAAATAATATTTGCAACTGTTTAGTTAATTTGATAGAGGGAATTTGATTTGGTTCTGAAAAGAAAAGATTCGGGGTTTTGTGCAGGGAATGGAAAGATGGAACCGAACCGAATATGGGGTGAGAAATGCAGCAAGTCTGATATAGTGATAAACCAGGGCCCTACGGCCCCACTCCCAAGTGGCATTCCCACATACACGGTGGAGATCATGAACATGTGCGTGAGTGGATGCGACATCTCTGGCATTCACCTGAGGTGCGGCTGGTTCAGCTCTGCACGCCTCATCAACCCCAAGGTCTTTAAGCGCCTCCGTTACAACGATTGCCTCGTCAATGATGGCAGACCTTTGATCAACGGTGCCACCATTTCATTCCAATATGCCAACACCTTTCTCTACCCTCTTTCCGTTTCCTCTGTCATCTGTGTCTGATCATCATCATGATCATAACAACAATCCTCTCTCTTGTCCCACAACTTCATTCTTTTCACCTGTACATACAGATTTTAGATACGTATCTGCGGACAACACCTTGTGCACGTGATGGGTCTTTCCAATGTGATGCTTACGATTTTTTGATAGAAAGGAAAATAGGCTAGGAGTGAGGTTTTTTTAGCTTTGTTTTTGTGGTTTTGGGCATGGTTGCATGATGAGGTGATGATATACTTTAAGTCGTTTTCCCCGTTTGTGTGCATTCATTAATGGAACTGTACAAGAATCAGGTCATAGCAGTGGCTAAAAGTCATTGCATATATTGCAATATTCAAGCAAAGCAGATCTTTTTCAATTGTAGACATTATGTTTTGGAGGGGGGGAGTGGAAGGAAGGAAGTAGAAGGACTGGTCCCCCTTCTTTTTACTTCAATCTGTGCTATGCCCGGGGTTGTGGAATTGGATTACGAGGGACGGATGTATAATGTGTGATTGTGACCTCTCCTCAGGATGTCCGTGATTCGTCATTATGTCAACGACCCAAATTTGGTTCCTCTTCCTAACCGGGAACATTCATTTCGTCCTGATGACGCCAAACATAATGCTCAATAAGTCGCATCGTACCTTCTTATTTACACTTCAATTATGCCTCTACATTTTTTTTATAAATAAATAAAATGAGTGTGCAGTTAAAAGTCCTGCATCGACAAAGGAATATAACTATGTAGTTGCCATGTTACAGAGGAATTAGTCTCACGTATATAGAAAGTTGTTATGGAACAGGGTTCTTCAATTATAAAGGAGTTTTTGGAAGAATATAACATACGTTCGTGTTGGGTATTAAACTATGATTCATGTATAGTAGATTTTTCGATACCTAAAGTCATTTGAGAATAGTAAAAGTAAGAGTACTGAAATGTTACATTATGCGTTTTTGGGATATGTGCTTTTATATATGCTTGTTTTATTCTCGGTGAATGTTAACAAAAAAATTATTACGGGTGCTGAATGTCAAGGAAACTAATTTTGGTCGATAACTAGTTGATGGAGATTCTTCTAATTCTTTTATCGGAGGAGATTTAGTTGCGGAAGTTATTAGGTTTTCTAGGAGAGAGAAGGGTAAGGTCAATTCTCAATGAAGAAAACACATAGTAGTCAAAAGGAAGAGAGATTGTCCTGAAGAGACCTACGAAGAAGTTGATATCCCGCTTTGCATGATAGCTCAACTTATTTGATATTGACTTTTTTATTAATGGTGGAGAGTCCTATTCAGAGCCTTCTTGGCCGGCCATGGAGAAAAGAGAAAGGAGGGAAATTTAAATTATGAATTTCCTATAGATTAGGTATGTGGAGTGGGTCAAATATTACTTGTTCATTCATGTTTTTTACATTTGAATGTGTTCAAAATGTTACGTGCATGCGGCTCTTCCCTAGCTAAAGCTAGCTTACGGTTTCGCTAGGACTTGAATGAGTCCAATTAAAATCTTAGCTATGCTAGATCAAATGTAGATTTTACAAAATAGATTGAATCTAAAATCCATATTCATTTTAATTTGATTATATTGATTTTGATTTGTCCAATCTAATTTAAATTGGATTAAATTTATACTAAATTTACTTATCAATGATTTTGATTTGTCCAATCTAATTTAAATTAGATTAAATTTATATTAAATTTACTTATCAATTATATTAAATGTGATGTAAGATTGATTTAGAATCGTGCAGCGAAATATCGCGTTTAAATAAAGTCAAGTTAATTGATTTTTTAACAAAAATTGTACGTTTAAAAATTTTACCTTTTTAAAGTTTGACTTTTCAATAAAAAAATATTCCTTGAATATAATAGTAGATAAATAAATAGCGTTGAAAAAAAAAAATTATACTCATTTAGATCAAAACATCATTCAATGGTTAATATCTCAAGAGAGGGATTAACCAATCATTAAAATAAACTCGAACTTATAATCAAATCAGTAGTTTAAAATTTAGAAAACACATATCTTGAAGACACAAAAGATAAAAAAACACCTTCTTTGAATCACACAAAAAATGAACCACCTCCTTTGAGTCACACAAAGGATGAAAAATGTTTCCTAGCAACAGTAGGAGCATTCAATCATTCAAGAACACACTTAGTGAAAGTTATCGCTCTACCTACATTAGGTTTTTCAAAGCCTCTTTTCACAAACACAGAGTTTCTCTATGTGTCACAACTTTAAACCTTTAAATGAAAAGTTATTTTTGAAATTAGGTTTAGCAAAAATATATAGACTCTTTATTTTAAAATTTAGGCCATGAAACTAAAGAGTCAAGTTACAACTATAGTTGATAGTCGATTATTTCAATAGATAATCGATTATCACAAAAACTTTTCTAAAATCATTTTCTCGATGTGATAGTCGATTACTGGAAGTCAATAATCGATTATCACAAAGTCTTTTCCAAAAATATTTTCTCGATCTGATAATCAAGTACCTGAAGTGAATAATCCATTATCATTGAGTCTTTTCTAAAACTTTGAATTCATTTTGAAAATCGATTATTACTCGTGTTAATTGATTATCATAGAATATTTTTGAAAAATTAAAAGCTTTTCTAAGTGATCTTTATGCAAGGCTACTTTGTGATTCTCTAAACTAAGTGTTACACAAAATTTGTTTACTATATGACTTATTACAAAAGCTTAATTCCATACATACTAAAATATAAGTCTTCCAATATCTTTTACATTGACTTCTTGGACTTTCTTTTATCATCATCAAAATTTCCTAATCTTCATCATCTTCTCTTTTTCCAACAATGTGGGATCAACTCAACACACCTTAACGTCATCCGAAACCAATGTAGGCCTGATGTATTAGTCAAACACAATCAAACTTGATTTGGATGAACCTAGTCCATTTTGTCTTCATCCCACCAAAGATTAACTCAACCTAGATCGGCCAGACATAGCTTGATCTGGTGATAGGAGGCTCCTTCGAAGCTATATGACTCAAGCCAAGTTGAAGACTCCGAGAGTGATCTAGGTGTGTGGAAGCTATGGAAACTGTAATGTATTGCTCGTTTTTAGTTAACTTATGGTGATGGTGTGGTGTTTGGGTGATCTCAAGAGAGGTTAGGCCTACTCTTAAGGAATGGTGGTTATAAGTAACCTATAAGAGCTGCTTTAAAATTGGTGACCTAAATTGAGTAGTATGACACAAATTTGGCAGCATGACTTTATTTAAATTCAAATGTGCATTTACACGAGGAAAGACACCTCTATTTTTAAGCTTAGGTAACTCTAAAGGTGTCTTCAAATTGTAGAAGAAAAACCTTAATACTCTAATTTGGAGACCAAGAAAAACTTCTCTTATTTAGAAGCATGAGACATGACCACTACTAAGGAGAATCATGATATGAAATAACATGCATAGATAAAAAGGAAACTAAGACTAAACAGGAAAAATCAGAAATGGATTGAAAGGACTAAGCGGAAGAGAGAAAAGGAAAGGACAACTTATGGATTGGAAGATGACATGCCACTTGGAAGGATCCAAGATAAGTGCAAGAGGACCGCCACTTGCTTTTACCATAAGATTAAAACCAAAATTGAACTAAGAGATAAATAATATCTCAAAGAAGAAATGTAAAATGCACATCACTCTTGTTTCATTTATGAAAAGGTGTGTGTTATAAAGGAGGCTACACTAGTGTAGTAAAGGGAAATGAAAGTGGCTATTTTTGCCTAAACGCAGCGGTTCTTGAATCGAGACATATACAGGCGAGGAAAAAAGTCTATCACTTTTTTTCTCGATTAAGAACCGAGGCAAAAAGGTGTGATCTTTTGCCTTGGTTTTATTGCAACCAAAGCACTAGAAGCATGTTCTTTTTTATTTATTTTTTCGCCAGAGTTTTCGCCTCCGGTGTTGGATAGCCGAGGCAGTAGAGGAGGGTTTTTTGCCTCGATTATGGTGGAACCGAGGTAGTAGAGGTTTTTTTTGTAAGCCTTTCTGGTTCGGCTGTGGCTAGAATCGATGCCATAGGGGTCTTTCTACCTCGGTTTTGGTCACAACCAAGGCGTATTCTACTATTTTGTTTTAAGAACAACTCTGTTTCTGCAACATTTTCAACTGCAAAAACAGACCTACATGTATTCAACTTTACAAAATAGTCTAGAACAATCTAGAAACATATATTTTCAATAAAAAATATATTAAAACATAAATCATATCAATGTACATAGAATTATATGTTGGCTGGTACCAGACAGAGTGTAACGCAGCAGAATAAAACTGAAGTAGCAGAAAGCGTGTTTGGTCACCCTTTTTAAAATAAATTGGTCCGTTTTTAGAAAATCAATTTTCTTTCAGAAAATTTATCGAACAGTTGATATGCGTAAAAGATAAAGAGTGTAGGGAATAGAAAATCACACGAGTAATTTTTATACTGGTTCGATTCAAGAGAATCTACATCCAGTCGTTGATCACTATAAAAAGTGATTAACAATTCCACTAAAAAGATGTTTCACAGATTACAACAAATAGTGAATAAAGCAGATAAATAAACCTTCCTTCGACGAACGAACCGGAAGAAGAACACTCTGCCAACTCGAAGAGAACCGCTCCGACTATCGACAAACAAAACGCGAGCTTCTCCTATTCACGAGACCAGGCAGAGCACCTTGCTAACTCGAAGAGAGCTTGCTCCGACTATCGACACACGACACTCGAGCCTCTCCTGTTCACGAGACCAAGCAAGGGAACTTGAACTATAGCTTCTGAGAACTTCCTCTCACAAACAGTATTCTGCAATAGCTTCTTTTCAACAAATTCTTAAGTGATCTTCACAGAAACCCAATATATAGCTAGCTGTTCTGAATATCTAAGGTTAAGTCTCAACTGCCATGAATAATCGATTATTCAAGTTCGTTACAGGTTTTCAAAAATGTGATAATCGATTATATGAGGTGATAATCGATTATTCCTGGATGACTTGTGATAATCGATTATTGTCATTCCATAATCGATTATGGCAGTTAAAAATGCAAGTTTTACAAAGTTTACAAGACTTTCCTACTATATTTAATTTCTACAAATTGCTTTTAAATCATTCTAATATCTTCTTCAACTAAAACTTCTTGCAGCATCATGCATCATCAAAACAATTTTCTTCAAGATTTACCAATACTCCTTATTGGTA